TTTCTAAAAAAGTTTCTTCTTTGTAAAATTCAGAAGGTTTTCCGGCTATGAGCAACTTCCTAACATGAAACATTAAACTTGCTGTTTACATCTAGACTACAACAACAACAACAACAACAATAATAATAATAACAATAATTAACTCAATGTGTGAGTTCACTGAACTGATTTCTGATCAATAATCAGGTGATGAAACAGCTTTAACTTCCCATTTAAACAAGAGTCACTTTAGTTCCTACCTGCTCCTGTTTCTGGGGGACAGCTGGGAGTGGAACACCTTCACAGATTAACGAAGCAACACACTGATCGATTATCAGAATATTTACTCTTCGATTTGAGTCAGTTTCAGTTAGACTTTTCATAGCGGAATGAAAACGATTGGATGATGTCACAGACAGCATTGATCGATCAGTGATTGATCTGTGTGAGCTCCTGATTGGCTGCTCAGTCAGTCGCTCCCAAATCCTGACGTCTGATTGGCTGCTTAGTCAGTCGCTCCTAAATCATGACGTCTGATTGGCTGCAGGCTTGTTTTCCATGACGGTCCTCACAAACACAGTGATCAGATTTAATATTCAGTTTAAATCCTTCATCCTTTAATCCTCCTCATCCTCACATCTACAGCCCACAGTCAGAGCAGCCTGGACACAGAACCAGAAGCTCTGCAGAGCCCAGACAGGTTCTGATCCAACTCATTTATGATCTAGAGTATGATTTAATTAATAAAGTTCATAAACTCCGTCCTGGACAAAACAGATTCTGATTCTACAGAACAAAGTACAATGTATCTTTAAGAACAGCAGGACCCTCTGAGGAACCGGTCCGCTCCAAGGGATCGGTCCGCTCCGAGGAACCAACAGAGCCAACTTTATCATGAAACATTGTTAGAACATCAAAATAACACTTTGACATTTACAGACGTGTCAGCCTTAAACAGCTTTAAATGAAACAACTGGAGAAGAACAACAGACACACAACCAGAACCACAACCAGAACCACAACCAGACACACAACCAGACACACAACCACAAACAACAACCAGACACACGACCAGAACCACACCCAGAACCACAACCAGAACCACAACCAGACACACAACTAGACACACAACCAACACACAACTGAACACAACCAGACACACAACTTGACACACAACCAACCCACAACCAGACACAAACAGACACACAACCAGAACCACAACCAGACACACAACTAGACACACAACCAACACACAATCAACACACAACTTGACACACAACCAACCCACAACCAAACACAACCAGACACACAACCAGACACACAACCAACACACAACCAACACACAACTTGACACACAACCAAC